ATAAGACCTGCTGGTAAGCGTCAAAATCCAACATGGGACAAGTTATAAGTGAATTTCTTGGCACAAATCCTCAAGAAGATGTGAAAGAGACGATTGAAATACTGCAAAAGTTAGTGTCTGCCAAACTCCAAGCTTACGCTACAGAAATGGAAGCAAAAGCCTTTGAAGATAAGTCTTTGCCCATAATTGCTGTGGTTGACAAGACCGAGAAGTACATGGTTAAGGTATCAGAGGGAGCCTCCGAAAATGTCGAATCTGTGGTAGATGACCTTTTCAACGGAGAGTTCCTGAACGGACTTAAAGACTTGGTGAAGACAGCGATGAACGAGCTTCTTGGCAATGCCTCAGCGGGAGAGAAAGAAAAGAGGGAGTGCCATGTGGTTTATGCAAATAACAGCATTCTTCGAGTCGACTACCATATGTACAAATATGATTTCAGTACTCAAGGCCTACGAGATAAGGCGGAAAACGCATTCTGCTACGTGGTTCAAGTGTCAGTTCTCGATCTGAAGAAAGTTGATCCGCAAGTCATCCTTTACGAGCTAGACAGGGCCGTGGGTAAAGGCAGCATTGAAGGCATGACCAAAAGACTACTTGCAGAAGCAGGTTTCGTGGAAGATCTCTACAAAGTTCTCAGCCGTCTGCGAAAAGTTTCCTTGGAACCTCCAACTGAAGAGAATCGGGAGCCCTTAACTGAAGACAACCAGTAAACAGAGTGAACAGTGTGAAGATTGTGTGAACTGTGTGTATCTTTTATTTACTACATTGATTGTTATTGATCTGTTGTTCAGTGCAACATGACTTCTTGGAGTCTTCGACTTCACGCAAGCATTGCAAAGTGTGAACAGTTTGTTTTCATCAAGTAAACTCTTCAGTATACTCTGTCGTGCAACTTTTTGTTACTTAGCACTATTTTGATATTGGTCTCATTTTATACTTTTTCGATACTTTTAAGTTAGTGTTTAATGATATTTAGTTTCAATGTACGTGTGAAACAATGCTGTCAAGATACTATATATACACGAGATCTTAGGTCGGAAACTATCTTACTTCAGTCGTAGGAATACCTGACAGAGGCAAACGGCGAAGTCTAGTGATTATGCCACACACGCGAAAAAGAGGAAGTTAAAAACTTTCTCCCATTGTGATTGAAAAAATAAGCCATAAAGTTGTTGCTGATCACCAAACTGTTTAACAAACAACTTCCTGACTTTACATCATTCATACCTGAACAAAACAGCTCTCCACCGCAGTAAAATCTGCAACGCACGGAGTAATTATAGTCAGTCTGCTTAGTAAAATTTCAGTTTCCCCTTTCTCGTATACAACATATAGTTTCAAGGTTACTTAATCAAAGAACAAGGATAAAAATTTGCTCCGTAACATAGTATGTAAGACCAAACAAACTCGTGTAAAAAATAAAACAAAATAAAATAAAAGTGTGTTCATAGGAAACTGGTGTCGTTATATATTTTATATTAAATGTAAAGCAATCTATTCATGCTTCTCATGGACACCCTTATATGGCCGTGTACACCGTTATTCGTAAATCATAGTTTTTTTTTCTCAGAGATTTTAATTTAGCAGGTCGATCGACTCTATCGGAATTCGACTATTGTAGTCGGAGTGAATAGGATGCATAAAGCTGCCAATTAACTTTTTTTTCCTACAAAATCTGTACAGTGAATCCAAAGATCTGTCTATGTTAGACTTCTTACACTTCACCTAGTGTATTGAAAACGACCTGCTATCAAAATATTGATTTCAGAGAAATCTCAACTTTGCTCAGAAGATTGGAATTCCCAATAGATTTCTCATGTGATTTAAGACTCCTCTACCCAAAAAATATTGAATACGGAGTGTGACTAAGATCAGGTCAGCATACACCTCAAAAGAACCTAGAACTATCTTTATGCAATCGTTGATGCGGGCTCAAAGGCCTAATAATGTTTACACTGGGCAAATTACCTGATAAACTCAAATCGACGATAATTTGGGCGTCTGACCGAGCAATTTTGTTATAATGCATTGCAGAGCGTTTAAAGTCACTGACTAGTTGGCTTGTTGGTTTAAAATTGTAGACATTTCTTGGCTTTTAGTCTGTTTTATTGTCTTTGTTCCTAGCTATAAGTTAAAAAACTCGAAACCTCTCTAGTGTTTGGCCATTCTCTGCAATCTGCAATTCAAGGTGGAGCCATTAGTTCAATTAACTGTAACCTTAATTTCCGCAATGCTAAAATTTTCCGCTTTCATTCAGCTCCATCGCAAGCTGTAAAACAGATAGAATTTAGGCTATTCATCTCTACTTTTCTTCTTATCCTTAAAAAATCCTAAAGAAAGGCGGACAAAAGTAAACTTAAAAATGGGACAAACAAGTGGCAGTTACTTGACATCGATGAAACAGTCAAAGATTGGTGGCAAAGATGAAACTATTGAACAACTCGGACTCATTCAACAAATGTTGGTCGCTAAGACTGAAACAGTGGCTAAGAAATTGAGAGACGATGCCATTGAAGACAAACGTTTTCCAGTAAAAGCAGTGGTTAAAACAGTAGGAAAGCAGTTGATCGCCACTGGAGACAAGGCGTCTGTTGAAGAAATCCGAATGTACGTACGTGAGGTCTGTCGTTCTGAATTTGTCGATGGTCTGATAAAAATGGCTTGGAGAGATGTAAATGAGCTACTTCAGAACACAACTGGGAATGAAGCAGAGCGAATGGCTTCTCAACTGGTTATATCAAATAGCAGTGTCCTTCGAGTAGACTTCCATGTCTATAAATTCGCCTTTAGCTCTGAAGGTTTGAGGGACAAGTTTGAATGTGCCATTTGTTATGTTGTGCAGCTTGGAATATTGAACCTGGAGAAGGCTAATTTGGAGGAAGTCAAGGAAGAGCTTGAAAAATGTATAACAAACATAGAAGATTCTAAGTTTCTCCGAGAACTAATACTCATGGGTGACTTATTCAGAGAAATCACTCGCCTTCAAATTGATAGAGGTGGTGGCGAAGAGAACAGTACCAACTATGCGTGGGACGACATTGTTCGTTACTTTGCTGATCTGTCAATGTTTAGAAACTTTTCGAAATGGCGTGCTTTCACACGCTTATTGTTTCAGTCGGTTTAGATCACTTTTGCTATCGGACGATTCCAGCAGCTGAGGCAGATTGATACTGGTTTTACGGAACACCGAGACTGAGACTGCAAAGCGAGCAGGAAACCTTGTAGTGCGGTGATTAGTAATCGGCTCCTGATTAATTGCAGTACTGTACTGAACTCTTCATGGAACAGTCATTGTCGCTTCGACAGACTGCTTAGCTAACTGGTTATTTATACTATTGTGCCTGTACAAACTATACAACACCAGTCGAATCAGTCACTAAATGCTCACGCCACATTTCCATTTTGCACTATTTGAAAGTCTGTTGATGCATGAACACTAATTGTATTTCAGAAACTAGCGTAAAAAAGACCGGCCTAAAGTTCATTCATATTTTTTTATATAGTGCCATTGGAAGTATGCTGATTATTTTTTCCATGGCGTTTCATCGAAGCTCCTGATGTTAATGCGGCATTAAAGTAATAAGTTAATAGTCCTCTGTTTTTTTTAAAATGTTTTTTAAACAGGTTTAAGTTATTAACTCGCTGTGACGGTTTGCTTATAAGAGATTTGTTTTTCTTTATCTTTTTAGGGTGCTAGCAAAGGTCCAAATTTTTCAAGGCAACATTAATTATCCATTTCGTTTGAACAGTGAAGGTCTCA